TAAATTACATATTTATATACACATACTTATACTCAAATGATTATTTCCCTACCTCACATTAAATCAGATGTTCTTTATGCTATAAACAACCAAATGTGTGTTTCATAATAGCATTCTACATGAGGATGAAAAATTAAAAATGTTAGAAAAGAAAACTAAGTTTAATATTTCAAAATGTGTGACCCATCTGTACGTAGACTGGGCATCCCATATAACCTGGCTGAGCCAATATAAAACAATCAGCCAAATAACTTTTCAATATATTATTGATTACTATTTTTGAGGTACTTTTAGGTTGGCAGTAAACACAAGTCAGAGGTAAATGGTGTACTTTGACTCCACTACATGTATTTAATACCTTTAGTTACTTTACAGATGTGGATGAATGATGTGAAATATAATCAAGTGTTAAATCAGACTTTAGTTCCACCTGGAGTAAATTCACAAGCTACTCTGTAGTATACAAAGTCATTCAAACTAGCTGCAACTTTACCAGCTTTGATAACACTTTCATGATCAATCATTATAAAACATATCATATACAATTATTAGGGATGCTCCGATCGCCAATTTTGGGGCCGATCGCCGGAATCAGTATCGGCCGATACCAATATCGCTCTCTTTTCCTCTCTCCCCCTCTCTCCTGACAGCCCGTCAGTATCTCCTGCAGCTCACTGATCCAGTAATGAGCGACCCGACAGTGAAGAATAAATATATTTATAACTAGTTTAGCTTGTTCCAGAGGTAGATAAAATAGCTAAGTGTGTTAGGTCTAACTCTTAGTGTGTGTTCTGCTCCGCTCACCGGTCCGTCACAGCGGGTGGAGCTGCAGGATTTCTGCTTCACACACACGTTGCATACCGCTATTTTATTGTCATTTTCGGACACTTAAAATACTGCCAGACTAGTGAAGCCATTTTGGCGAGCTTGTTTTGCCGCGCACAGAGAAAAGTGTCATGTATTTTACATGCAACGATAGCCTAATCTAAAATGTTCTACTACAGCGTACCTTTCGTGTGGTGTGTGGCTCGTCAGCGCAGACTCTTGCATCGTTATTGTTGCACACTTTGCAGGAGGCTACTCTTGGGCTTCGCTTGACCCTCGTCTTAGCCATGGCTTGTATTTGTCTTCTGCTAGCCAACGCTCGTTGAAACGGCAACCTCCTGGCATACTGTCATCTATCACTCTCATCAGAATGCCCAGGTCACACACGTAACAAAAACACTTGCCGGTCACGCGCATAGCGCGGGAAGGCCGGAGCGGAGCTGTTTTATGTAAAAGCGAAGCAATTAAGCGCGCTCCGACTTCTTTATTTTCTTTTAATCTAAAAAGCGAAGTAAAGCATTTACAATTTCAAGCACTTTATCCCAAATTCAAGCACCATTCCCAAAATTCAAGCACTTTTCAAACCTTGAAAACACCTCGTACAATTTCAAGCATTTTCAAGGATTTCCAGCACCCGTACACACCCTGCATATTGCTGCTTGTTCGGACCCATATTAAGAAGCATTACCGCCGTTTCTGTTATTTGCATTTGAGGAGGGGATTGCTTTGTCTTTGCACTGTGACACATATGCATTTTGCACATGTAAAATGGTATTTATATTTCAAAAGCTTAATTTGAACAGTTTTATATTATATTTTAAAAGTAGCACAAAGTAACCTTTGGTTGAGGGTAGCCCTAATTCACGTTATGTCATACATATATTTAGAAAAATATTTGTTCAAATGCTCCTATACAATATTTGCACATGCTCTTCAAAGGCACTGAATTGCAAACTCAAAACTGGCTCCTACAGTGTACATGATGATCAATCCCCCCCGTCCCCACTGTCATTCTCTCAATCATCCTTCACATATATGCACTTATGCAGAGGGCATCCCAAAGGTATTGGAGCTGAAATCACCAACCTAATATATACTGTACACTGTGGACCTCAAAGCAGTTATGCGCTGCCCAGTCAGCATATCAATCACAACTCTGTCAATTGATACACCGGACAGCATCAGTAAACTGGTTCAAACTGAGGCAACATTTTAATAGTGTAAAGATTTCTGTACTCATAGTTGTTTGAAGTTACTATTCCTAGTTAATTATTAATCAAAACAACTTTTTTGGCTGCAATGTAAAGAGAGTTTATGTTAAGTAGTGTTGGTGCAGTGTCGAAGCAATAGAAACCAACAGGTCACCAACAAAAAAACAAAAGGATGTTGAAGGACTCAACACTACTACATAAGAGTTTTTTTTTCGAATTTGGTCTCCTTCCAGATGCACTGCTGACTTTTACCTCAGGTTGGTCCACTACCAACCTGTGTGAACCAATCAAATGTGTCAGCAAAATATGTCACATTATATAATGACTGTCACCAAGTCATCATTTTGAGAAAAAGGCCTTCAAAGTTTCCTCTTCTCTGGAATCCATCGATCTGATTGATTTTTAGCGGCTAATAAATGATCTAAGTATTACCGAGGGAAAATATTTCCGTTTGGATTACTGGTCTGGGGGAAGCTCGCGAGTGTGTGTGTGTTTATGTGTTTGTGTGTTTGTGTATTTTTGCGTTTGTGTGTATTGTGTTTGTTTCCCGGGGAAAACACTCACGAGAAACACCGGCTGTTGTTATGCCTGCTGTGACGTCAAGTTACTCCGTTCTCCGCTTGTAATTATGCCGTTACAAGCTTCAAAGTTGTATTTATCATCTGAATTTGCCGAAACAAGTTTAATATTCTGAAAGCCAAGACTTTGTTTATTTGAAATCAGATGAAAACAAACTGTAACGGACCCTGCCGTGTTATCTATGATTACTATATGCCTTACATTCATAAAGGGGAGCAGCGCTGCGGAAGAGCTGAGTGCGAGTGAGAGGTGCCTGTCATCTTCCCATCTTCAAAAATGTATTTATCGTGTGATTTTGGAAATAAAAGTTTAATATTCTAAAAAAGCCAAGACTTTGTTCATTTAAAATCAAACAAAACACCCGAACAACTATTTTTTTACGCAAATCCACGTTTATTTAGAATAAATGAGCCGTTGCGACTTCCGACTGATTTCGATAGAGCGGGTCACATATATGAACGCTAAACCAATCATCACTGAACTTGAGTAATGCTCTAATATTTGTATAATATAACCAACGTTATCGTAAACCAAGATATGTAAGACTCCCTTCATGTGACATAGACTAAAGAGCAACAAAGTCTGTAGAGAGTAGGATGGAGAACAAACACGGGACAGTCAACTATTTTGGTTGCGTAACTTGCACATTTAACTGATGGCAAGCACGTAAGTTACCTGACCAAACAAAAACCAAAGTTTGTGCTATCTTGCTTGGGTTCCTAGGAATAACATACATTTTTACAAGATAAAAGAACTTCAGGTCCAAAGCTTGATTTTAATGTTGTGTTGAAGAGAGAAGGGAATTTCCTGTGATGTCATTCTGCATAATTATTAGCCATGTGCTTCTGTTAATTGGAGGGAGAGAGTGTATTTGCGTGTCCAAGTGTCATTTGGTGGGTGTTTGTTTTCTGTCAGACAAACGGGCTTTCGGTTCAGTGGGATATTTTTGGGGCTATTTTGGTTAGGAATAATTGGCAGTCTTGGCCAGGAACAGTCAACTGTCGGCCACAGAACAGCATCACTTATCAATAATGTGTGTAAACAAAACGACTAGTTAGTGAAATCAAAGTGCAATGTTTAAAAAATAACAGAGATGTTTGTATTGTGGCCTTCCACAAAGATATGAAATATTTTGAAGAATCATACATGACGCAAAGACATGTCAATAATAGACAATTCCCGGTTTAACAACAAGCTACATAGAGTAGAAGAAATATGTGCCCATTGCAATGTTTGTGCTTTCCGTAATAAAGTGTAATGATACTTCTCTAGACAAAGCCAAGAACCATCTATGGCCATCAGTGGATCATCTTTTTTCAAATCTGTATGATTGTGCGATGGCTCGTCTTTCCTTTGTAGTCACCAAGTAGATGTCACTGTCCCATCACTATCAAAAAGAGGCTTAACCAAATGAATTGATATAAGACCCAGTCTGAAATGATTAAGTTAATGAGAGAAACGTATTTAAACTGACTTTGCTCCTTTTAATGACACTATCTATTCCTGATCATGTCATATTATATTGTGTTTGTTTTCCAGACCCACCCACCCCTCCTGAGCTTGTGTTGGTCTGGAGTAGCTGACTTGTTCCTGTATCTGTCTCCTCCTCTCTGCTGTGTCTTTGTAAAGTCCTCTGTTTTCGGGCAGAGGGCTGCACTGCCGAAGCCACAGATAAGGCTTTCAGATAAGGAGGGGGGGCAGATAACCATCCTGCCTCACCGTCGCTCTGCAGCATCAGCTATCTGAACCCTTATCGGACCACACAGGCCTCCCTCCTTCAATCTCCATCCTCCTATTCAACTGTGGGGTACCTTTTTATTTTCTGCCTCCTCCCTCACTGACCCTCTTATTCTTTCTCACCCCATGTCTCTCTCTTCCATCATGCAATCACCAGAATGCCAGTGTAGATCCATATCGACGTATCGGAGGGGCAACATGGCCGAAGGGGGAAATGAGGCTAATTAAATTGATAGTGGAAATAAATGTTCTCCTATGTGGTGCGTTTAGCTGTCAGGCCGGATTGCCATGTGCTGTTGATTGGACATGTCCGTGTGTATATGTGTGTATCAGTCAGCTGTGTGGAGAATCACAACGATAAGGGAACAGATTTAGTATGGATTGCTGGGCAGAGTGAAAGCCATCTGTAATGAACAACAATGGATCTGACCTTGAGGAAAGTAGAAAATACACTTACTGATGTAGTTGTGGCTGTTACTGCGGGGACCATGTGTGTGTACAGTATATATATATATATATATATATATATATATATATGAAACAGGAAAAAGCTCAATGGTGGAAGATATTGATCTAAAACTAGAATAAGAATGGAGTATTTCTCTATACACAAAAATGGCAGTATGTAGCAGTGGAATCTGAACTTACCTCTATGTCGGTTGGTGGTTTTGTCAAACATTAGCATGGCATCCTCTACCTGAAACAAGACAAAAATAATTGTTCAACTTGTGTGCACAGAGCCAAACAGAAACAGTGCATCTTTAGGAGCGCCACAAACTGTACTGCAGTGTCTCGACACCACTGTTTATGTCACGCTCAACCAACCTGAAGACCGCCATTCGCAATGTTACCAAATCTGCCATGGACAATGTAGTGATTGATTGCAGTGTATGATTCATATCTGTAAACACCTGCATTGAAAAGAGTCTGTCCTGAACTTGCCAAAGATTTAATGAAAATAATCTCCCTGTCAAACCTGGCAGCTTTTACATGCAGCCACAGCTGGAGTTTCAGATGTGTGATAGAAACTGAAAAAAAGGAACTGTCAGTCCATTCCACTGAATTACACATTCTCATTTTCTATTCCGATTAGACACTTTACTTGAGAAATAAGTGACAGATTGAAGTGGGCACAGAACCAAAACTGCCCACTTAACCAACTTTGATGTAAAAATAATGTTAAAAGCATTCACTTTGGATCCGGTTCTTTATAGAATGGTAAACTGCCCAATATTTTAAAAGATAGAAATATAATTTCCGTACTAAGAGTTATGTTTTTTTTAAAATAGCAAAAAAATACAGGGTCAAACTTTTTTTATCTCATGGAGAAAATCACGGCAAGATTGTAGTTGAAAACAGACACGTTTTTGAAGATGGTCATACCAGGGGGCAATTCACACCTATTATTTTTAGATTTATTTATTATTTTATTTATTTCACTGTATCACCGTTTTCATGTTCAAATTTGTATTTTGTGCCTCTACTGTGAAATGTCTCCATGCTTTAATGTTCAAAAAGCTCTTTATTGTTCTCATACTGCCTGTGCTACAGCACCTCTTTTCACCCTCTGTCTGAAACCAGAGCCCAGTCTGCTCTGATTGGTTAGCTGGCCGGCTCTGTTGTGATTGGTTAACAATTTAGAGATGTCCCACCTTTTAAAAAAATCACATACAATTTGTTGGAGCGCTAGTCAATAGAAGCCTGAGTGGTACACAGTGATCTCACTATCTGTAAGTAAACAAATAACTACCTTGGAGGGTACCAGGGGGGGATGTGTGGGAGAGAGACTCCCTCTGGAGGGAACTTTGGGTCTTAGCCTTTGCAGATTATTTACATTCACAAAAATGAAGTTTTCCATGAAGGGAAAACCCCTAAAAGCATAATAGGGCCTTATGTTTATGTAATACAAAATGTGTTAATTCCAATATGCAAGTCCAAATAGTGTCCCGAAGACACATAAATGAATGTATGCAAGGTAAAACAAGTATATTTGGTGAGCAATAGTTTGTGATAATCGTAGTGTGCTTCTGAAGGCATGACAGCGCTGCTCTGTGCCGGTTGTAGCCTGGGAAATGTTTCCTGTGACTGATGCCAAATCTTCCTCTGCAGAACAAAAGAGCTTTATTACTCAGAGCGTGAATTCAAACGGTGGAAGTGTGATGAGAGACGTGAGGCCACAGATGATGTGCTGTTGCAGCTCTCAGATGGAGGAGAGTAAATTAAAACGAAGACACGGAGCGACACCGGGTGAGGGATGACTTGTTGACAGGAGAGAGACTTTGCTTTCCTCCTTCCCTCAGCGTGTGTTATTTGAAAGATGTTTTATCTCTTTTTATAATCAAACTGCTCACATTTCATGGATGGCCTGTCTCGGGAAGGAGAGGCCGAAAGTGTTTTTGCACTCATCATGTTGATGCTCACTCTAAAAGGAAAACAGTTGAAGGAGGCAGAAAGTTCCAGTGACTGTGTGAAATCCTGTACATGGACCGCTGACAAACATCCCACATCTTTCCTAAACACTTTTATCTTAACCTGAGTGAAAATGTCATGGGGTTAGGGAAAGATGTACAGGAGACTTAAGAAAAGACAACACCTGTGCTAAGCAAATTTGACTGATGTGCATCTGCCGTGGTAAAACTACAAGTTTGCGTAGATGGACAACTAAAAGCGCAAGATAATTCTACCTATGCATTTTTAACATGTTGTTTCATATAGGCTATATACACATGGACTACAACATATTACTCTATTACTTAGGTTTGAAATAAAATAAAACAAGGAAAGAGAAAGGAATTGGTTGCTTTGGCTCACCGACCTGTCCGTTGTATTAATCAACATGCAGGGTTTCCCACACATAGACTTTACTTGGGCGGGCCGCCCAGGTATATTAACGACCGCCCAAGTATATTTCGCGACCCATTTAGTTTTTTTTTTTTTTTTTTTTAACCTGTTAAGCCCTGAGCCTGTTTTTCAGCTTTCAGGCTCGAAAATGCCACTTACACAACAAAGACTATATCTTCACTTCTAAAAGGGGTAAATTAATAATCTTTTTTCTCAAAGCAAGGTTACATCTGTGAGTTGGATGAAGAAGTGTCAGAAATCAATATAGATGTTTTTATTTTAAAATAAATTCATATGGAACATAGTAAAAACATGTAAATTCTATCTCCGCCTAAAAAAAACCCATTACAGATAGTGAAAACCACCCTTGGATGATGGGTTAGTAGACTAAAAGCTTTAGGAATCCAAAGTACAAAATATAATAATAATAAGTACTTCCAAATTCCAACATTTCTGCAGCAAGCTGCTCCCTGAAAGTCTTCTGTGTGTATGGCTTTGTCCTGCTGGGGTCACTCGTCATCTTGTGCAGCTCCTTGTGGAGAATGAAGCTGTTCACCACGGCAATGTCCACAAAATGGTAAAAAAAAGTCTTGTACCATTTCATAGTTTTGTGGAGAACGCTGTAGTACCCGATCAAAGCGTCAGACACATCCACGCCACCCATGCTTCGGTTGTAGTCCAACACAGCGTCAGGAACGGGAACAGTCTTAGTCTGCCACACACCAGCCTGTTTCACTTTCCGCTGGACCGTCTGACCGCTGAAGGCCTCGTGCACTGTGGAGCACATGGTCACTTCACGGCTGTCCATCCACTTTATGAATAGGAGTTTGCCTTCCCTTATCCACCGCAGTTCTCCCCTTTCAGCCTTCTTTGGTAGGCCATTCAACTCCGTCTGTGGGAAACCAACTCGATTTTTTCGAATGGTCCCACAACAGCCAATGTTTCTTTTGGCCAAATCCCCAAAGAGGGCAGGGCTAGTGTAGAAATTGTCCACAAAGAGTGTGTAGCCCGCACCGAGCAGAGGGAGGGGCAGGAGGTCGGTCACGGAGGTGTAGCTGAGTCCCTGGCCTGAGAAGAACGTACTCTTCCCTGTGTACACATTGAAGTTCCATGTGTATGCCATGGAGGAATCCGCCAGCACAAACAGTTTGTATCCCCACTTAGTTGGTTTATCCTTCATGTACTGCTTCATGCTGATGCGGGCCTTTGAGGCCTTTAATTATTATTATTATTTTTTTATTCGTCCGCGACCACGACGCCATCTGCGATCGATTAACTTGTGGACAATGATCCCTTGCTCGACGCCTCCTGTATCTAGTCCCGGACTGGCCATCGGGAGGACCGGGGGGTTTCCCGATGGCCTGGCCTGTTAAGTGGCCTGCCTCACACAGGGTGACTGGCTGTCTACATGATGTGGCCTGCCAACATGGCCACTGTCATACAGATCATAAATCAAAGCCCTTGATTGGTCTCTGTGTGTCATTCAAGCTCGGGATAACCTCAGCTCAGGTGAGGTAAAGGACTCTCTGAGTGTTTAGATTAGTCTAAGTTCTCAGTGGGTCTCAAACGGTTTGGTCACCATTTATGTAAACACATATTTCCATTTGAGGGGGGAGTGATTAGTAAAATATGCATGAATAAAAAAATAAAAGGTTAACTCGGGGAAAAAAGGTAAGATACACTTTTAAAACTTGTTGAGAGCTAAAACTAGTCTTTGCTGCTGCCTCAAAGAGGAGCAGGGGGAAAGGAGCAGGGGGGAGAGGAGAGAGACAGGTGAGGCTGATGCAGGAGCACAGACACACTCACAACTATAAATGAACCAAAAATAAATAAATAAACAAGTTTCAGTGTTTTTTCATATTGGATATGGTATGTTATTGGTTATGGCCATGATTGTATGATTATTGAAATGTATACAGTTCTGTTTCATATGGGCGTTTGCATATATCTAGTCTCTTTATTTCCCCCTCAAAATGCACCAGATTGATGCATTTAACTCCAAAATAAAATAAAAAATCTTACCGGGAGAGCATGCCCCCGGACCCCCCTAGAGGATTTGAGGTCCACCCCCACTTAAAATCACATGGATAGGTTCCTAAATACATTTACCATTTTTTTTAAATAGTAACCCATGTCCATATGTTTATTTGTGGGTAGTAGATTTAAACTATAGGGCTATCACTATGGGCCCTGCCTGTACCTGTTCGCTCTGCCATGGCGTGAAGGGTCTGCTAACAAGCGACCAACTGAAAAGTTAATGTTGTTGCACGTCACAAAGGCACGTCACCTCAGAGCATTGAAGCTCCTTTACTAATCTAGACTGAGAATATGAACAGCTCTTATCATGGCTGCCACTTCGGTATTTCCGGGTCACTTCACTTCCTTAGGAACCTTCCTAAGCAAAGAAAACCTATATGACCACAACCCTTGGAAAAAGCAGCCTGATTTCTTTTGGTAACCTTGTGTTAGCTGCCACTAGCAGGGGTTATTAGCCAATATCGGTAAATATGAAATGAAGAGATAAGAGCACAGCCGATAAGGAGAAGCTGACTGAGCCTTTGAGAAACCGCCTATCTAAACTTCCCATGCCTTCGCTTACTGCCTTATCCCAATCCTCTGAAGTGCTGCACACAAACCTTTTTTTAAATGCCACCTTTATTTCAACCAAGACGGCTACTGTGATAAGAGCTCTTTTTTCAAAAGGTCCTGGGTATCACCTACTGAAAAAAAAATAGTCCAAAGCTTTTCAGTCGCCACCTGATGGGTTGGTTGTCAAACCATTAATCAACACACTCCATAAAACCCATTATATTTGATTTGGGCATTAATATTTTTGTTGTTAGATGCTGATCAAAC